AAAGAGAGACATGCAGAAGTTGAATTGGTAGTACAAGGTAAGTAGAATGTCGGACGATAGACTACCAGCCATGGTTGACAAGGCAGCTTGGGGAAAAGCGACTCCAGGGAAGAAGGGAATCAGATGGGACAAGGTGGTAGAGAAGGTTTGAAAGGAGATAGGAGACGAGGAGGAGACGTTGGACACGGAAGGGTTCGGGGGGTTCAAGACGAAAGTCAAGGAGATGCTAGAAAGTAGGGAGGAGGCAACCCTTCGGAAGAAGGTACAAAGCGAAGACCACTTGGAGATATACGGGAAGTTGAAAGAAGGGATAGGGATGAAGACGTACTTGGACGGCCCCAATGTCGCGGGGATTCTTGGCAATCTTTCACGGAACACGCACAAAATAGAGGAAGCGCCGCTATTATTCGCAACCAATAGCAGTTGATCTTGCATTTGTTCATGTCAAGCCAAGTTCAGCAGCGAACAAAAAAAAACCTACTGCCTACACAGCAGTTTGGTCAAGCCCCAAAAACTGAAAACCACGCTCGACATTTTCCACATGAAATTTCTTTAGAATGGAGTACGTGGTGTAATCAACCGTATCCAATAGTCCGAAGCGCAAGAAGTTGTTGCCCTGTGACATGCAACTCTAGCTTAAGGAAAGGTACATGGCAAGTATCCATACTATCACCGAGTTTCCGCAGCAACATCAACACGGCATGAGTAGGAACGAGCGTCCGGCCGAACGGCTCTGCTTTGCTGATTCGCTCTTCTCTAACCCTATTTTCTCTTTTCACAACAAGTTCAAAACGCGCAGAACCACCTCCAGGGAATCTTAATGGGACAAAACTAGCAAGCTGAATACCCTAATTGCACATGCACCCACAGATCAAGAGGACATTTACAGTCTCACGCCATCTTCAACCTCAGTGACTCCTCTTTCTTCCTCCATGCACACCTGGTACAGGATCTCAACGGCAGAAGACATTCGATTCGGCCACAACCCTCCCCACCCGAGCCCGTTCAATCATAGCGCCAGCAACAACACAGCAGCTCAAATCGTTCGGTGAGTTGCAATGACAGGTTCTGCATCCTACGCCTTCACGTCGTGTAGACCATACCCGCTACCCAGAATGCTTCACCTACATAGACCGCAACCGGAAGCGCCGTTGGACGTCCAACAGGAAAATAGACGTATCCATCCCTGGGGATAGCGACGCCGTGCGTTGCCATCGGCAGAGTAGCAGGATTTCAGCCACAGAATATGCCCGGCAGGCTCGCGTCAAACGATTGACAGCGGGCTATGGAACCATCACTTGTCATCCTCATAAGGAGGGCAACGGGGCGTGAACGCCTAACCCTAGCCTTTTCAAACGGAAGGTTGAAGGGAGCAATTACACCCCCCGGGGGTACCGAGCACCAGAACCTCCATCAGAATTCACCGAGGGTACAGCGGCACTAGTCCGGGGGTATCTTAGTCCTGAATCACCTCCATCACCAGGATTTTCGGAGGGAACATTAGTAGCCCGTGGGTACCTTACTCCTGAAGCAGACCGGGGGTACCTTACCCCCTCAGGAGAAGCAATGGACTCAGACTTCGTATTTTTGCGGCATTTGCAGGCCTCCAGGCGACCAGATTTCCACATCACAGCCACGATGACTGCAGCAGCCAGGAGGAGTGTTCCGCCCACCACACCACCGACGATAGCACCCACCGGAGCTGATCCATTGATTCGAGTACCGTTTCAGCGTCGTAAGCAGTGGCACAGTGCAAAACCGAAAAATAAGCCGAAAACATACGCAGCACACGAAAGTGTCAGAAAGAGAGAAGGAGGAACGGGGCGTGCCACCAACTAGTCTTTTCCGCGAGGTCGGCGGTCTGAACGGTTCATTCTCTATGGTGTGTTGCTCGGTATGCATCGAACTCGAGGAATATGCATCAATAGCCAAGGTAATAAACATCTACAAACATCGGATGCATGGGATGGCGTGGGTAGATTCGACCGTACCTCCTTCTCCCCGATCGTATCATGGTCGTCGGCGTTGCAATCAGCAGTAAGTGAGACCGGCGAACATGAGGGCGGAGCAGAAGAGAAAGGGACGGCAGGGTCTCCCACACTTTCTACAGTTTTCCTGAACAACCCATGGGTCACCCGTGGGGCTTGCTCATGAGTAGCCCATGGGCAGCCAATGGGTGGCCCATGGACAACCCATGGGGAGCCCATGGGCGGCCACTGAGAGCGCTTCAATCGAGCCAGAGTGCTCCTAAACAACAGTTTATCTGCGTTGGAACGGGCACTATAGCGGCTAATAGCCCTAACACTAACCCAAACCCTAACCCCAAGCCCACACGATACGTGCTACTGTAGGTTGTCGCTGGTGGCTGAGTTCTAGGTTGATGTGCAAGTGGCGAAGTTCTAGGTTGAAGTTCCCACGGTGAGCACTTCATGGGCCACCCATGGGGCCCATGGGTAACCCCATGGGTGTTCCATGGGCGGTTTAAAAACTGAAGTAGTGTGGGAGATTGGGACGGCACGACAGAGCAACAGCAGAAACGATTTCGTGCTTGTGGCCCAACCTGGAGAACAAGACGATATTTGACAGATGTCCTAGTCTGCGCACGGAAGATACGTGTGCAAAGGGCGAGAAACAAAAGTGACCACAAATGAATGTAGTGCGTGGTGCTCCTCTACGTCCCATGGCAAAAATGGGCAGGTTTGCTTAAGACGTAGACAAAGGCGTAGACGAAACAAACCGAGGTTTATTGAAACAGTTCGAATTGCCATACTGTTGATATTGGGGTACCCGGAACGTATTGTGTACTGCGGGGCCCTTCGGTCGAGAGGACGAGTCGCTTTCCCAATTCGAAAGAAAACAATAAACATCTTTCACACCAAAGAACGTTTGCCATACGAAGACCCTTCTACGCGGCACAACATATGACATCGAACATCTGACGAGGTATGTAGTTTCGATCCACGAAAATCGTCTCTTGTGATATTTTCACTTCCAACCCGGCGCCGAAGGGCGGGCCTGTGGGCCGAAACACGCATGTAAGCAAAGCAGTAGCTGGCAAGCGCTCACCATCGTCTTCGTCTGTGACGCCGTAGCTAGAGCCACCTACCGATGAGAAAAAGGACACGGGAAGCAAGTGTGAAACAGTTAGTACATTTGGAAAGGCCAGCATCCAGAATGAGCTCAGGCGAAGAGTTCAAAGAATCCTTGGACAACTCGGCGTTGGCATCATCGTTTCACTGACGAAATGTCGTGCCGGGGGACGCGGCGAGAAAATTTGGCACAGCCCGATCCGCACATACTGTCACCCAGGTGCCGACAGGCTGGAGTACGTGAACCTCACGTTGGAACACAAACGACAAGCATAAACTACCAGCACACGGTTGCCTGAGCCCCCTCTAGAGGGTAGTCGGTTTGAAAGGCTCAATCCAAAACTACTCGGAATGCATGAAACCGGATGTGTTTCCACGAGTGCGACATTCCTGTCGACGAACAACGCTTGAACACCATTTCAGTACACGGAACCGAAAACATATCTAATCCCTGTGCAAACTCTTGCCAAGGTGACACCTACACACATCGGAGTGCACGGGAATACGAAGTTTACACTAAGAAAGTATCCGTAACAGACCGGTCTTACCTCCTACTGCCCAATCGTGGCATTCCCGCCGGCGTTGAAATCGATTGTAGAATGTGGGGCCGGCGAACATGATGTCGGAGCAGAAGAGTAAGCGACGGCGTGACGCGGCAGCAGCAAAACATGAACCGTCCTTATGGCCAGCCCGGAGAACGAGACGATATATATATATAACTTACTTTACCATGGAATTGTGCGTCTACCAAGAAACCATTCGGATCTGGCAACAGTCAAACAGCTTGTTTTCCACCGAGAAACAAGAGCACCTCGATACTGTGGAGCCGAGGACGCGATCATCGACATCCGGCAATCTCAAACTCTTGTGTGGCGACTGCATGCCTTCGAATGCGAAACTACCGAACAACGCGGCAAGAGCGAGAGATGGATTCGATCGACGAAGAATGTCTCCCGTGCAGTTCGCGCTTCCACGATGACACGGAGGGCGAGACTGCGGGCCGAAATATGCGCTTGAGCAATGCATGCAAGTAGCCGGTACGCGCTCACCATAGTCGTCGTAGTCGATGGTGGTGCGGTCGCTAGGGTCGTCTAGCCCAAAGAGAAACAGGACAATCGAAGCGAGGACCAAACAGTTAGAATATACGGAAACGCCAACACGAGCCCAGCGACAATGTTCACAGGACCCTTGGACAACCCGGCCTTGGCATCATCGTTTCACTGGCAAGACGTCGTGCCAAGGGGCACAGCGAGCAAAATCGGCACAGATCGATCCGTACATACTGTCACCCACCAAAGACACTGGAACGATGTCCTCCAGGAGTATGTAGATAATACATGTAGAAAGGATTGAGTGCGAGTACGCTCGCAAAACATCCGGCAATCACAAACTCTTGTGTGGCGCATGCCTTCGAAGGCGAAACTACCGAACAATGCGGCAAGAGCGAGAGATGGATTCGATCGACGAAGAATGTCTCCCGTGCAGTTCGCGCTTCCACGATGACACGAGGGGCGTGACTGCGGGCCGAAACATGCGTTTGAGCAATGCATGCAAGTAGCCGGTACGCGCTCACCATAGTCGTCGTAGTCGATGGTGGTGCGGTCGCTAGGGTCGTCTAGCCCAAAGAGAAACAGGACAATCGAAGCAAGGAAGGACAAAACAGTTAGAATATACGGAAACGTGAACACGAGCCCAGCGACAGTGTTCACAGGACCCTTGGACAACCTGGCCTTGGCATCATCGTTTCACTGGCAAGACGTCGTGCCAAGGGACACAGCGAGCAAAATCGGCACAGATCGATCCGTACATACTGTCACCCACCAAAGACACTGGTACGATGTCCTCCAGGAGTACGTAGATAATACATGTAGAAAGGATTGAGTGCGAGTACGCTCGCAAAACATCCGGCAATCACAAACTCTTGTGTGGGTTGCATGCCTTCGAAGGCGAAACTACCGAACAACGCGGCAAGAGCGAGAGATGGATTCGATCGACGAAGAATGTCTCCCGTGCAGTTCGCGCTTCCACGATGACACGAGGGGCGTGACTGCGGGCCGAAACATGCGTTTGAGCAATGCATGTAAGTAGCCGGTACGCGCTCACCATAGTCGCCGTAGTCGATGATGACGCTATTGCTAGGGTCGTCTAGCCCAAAGAGAAACAGGACAATCGAAGCAAGGAAGGACAAAACAGTTAGAATATACGGAAACGTGAACACGAGCCCAGCGACAGTGTTCACAGGACCCTTGGACAACCTGGCCTTGGCATCATCGTTTCACTGGCAAGACGTCGTGCCAAGGGACACAGCGAGCAAAATCGGCACAGATCGATCCGTACATACTGTCACCCACCAAAGACACTGGTACGATGTCCTCCAGGAGTACGTAGATAATACATGTAGAAAGGATTGAGTGCGAGTACGCACGCACAACATCCGGCAATCACAAACTCTTGTGTGGGTTGCATGCCTTCGAAGGCGAAACTACCGAACAACGCGGCAAGAGCGAGAGATGGATTCGATCGACGAAGAATGTCTCCCGTGCAGTTCGCGCTTCCACGATGACACGAGGGGCGCGACTGCGGGCCGAAACATGCGTTTGAGCAACGCAATCAAGTAGCCGGTACGCGCTCACCATAGTCGCCGTAGTCGGTGATGACGCTGTTGCTAGGGTCGTCTAGCCCCTAGGGGAAACAGGACAATCGAAGCAAGGAAGGACAAAACAGTTAGAAGATACGGAAACGTGAACACGAGCCCAGCGACAGTGTTCACAGGACCCTTGGACAACCTGGCCTTAGCATCATCGTTTCACTGGCAAGACGTCGTGCCAAGGGACACGGCGTACAAAATCGGCACAGATCGATCCATATATACTGTCGCCCGTCGCACGCCAAAAACAATGGTGCGACGTCCTCTAGGCGTACGTAGATACATGTACATAGAACGGCTTGATTGCGAGTACGCACGCGTAATATCAGGCAATCTCAAACTCCTGTGCGTGTGGCTGCGTGCAGTGTAGTGTGAAACTACCGAACAATGCGGCAAAGAGCGAGAGATGGATTCTATCAACGAAGAATGTCTCCCGTGCAGTTCGCGCTTCCACGATGGCACGGAGGGCGGGACTTCGGGCCGAAATATGCGTTTGAGCAATGCATGCAAGTAGCCGTAAGCATGCAGTAAATAGCTGGTATGCGCTTACCATAGTCGCCGTAGTCGGTGATGAAGCTGTTGCTAGGGTCGCCTAGCCCAATGAGAAACAGGACAATCGAAGCAAGGAAACACGAAACAGTTAGAATATACGGAAACGCCAACACGAGCCCAGCTACAATGTTCACAGGACCCTTGGACAGCCCGGCCTTGGCATCATCGTTTCACTGACAAGACGTCTCACCAAGGAACGCAGCGAGCAAAATTGGCACAGCTCGATCTGTACATACTGTCACCTGCCAAAGACATTTGTACGACGTCCTCTAGGCATATATAGATACCAGTCAGGCTTGATTTCGAGTACACACGCAAAACAGGTAGGTTGAGACAAAATCTACGAGCACGTCTACATTAGTAGTCTAGCCCCCTGTTTATCACATTCTACGACCTCTCAATTCGCGTCATCTCGAGTCTCATGTTGCTTTAATTCTGTACAAACTGACCTGACGAGGTGCTCCCTCGCGCGCCGATCACGCCGTTGACGGCGAGCAGGGCGATGAGCTCCCATCGCAGCACACTCTTCATGCCTGCTGAATGTACAAAGGTGGAATGGGTTGTCAGAACGGCAGAGGTGTAGCTATTCCCTCCACCCAATGCCCAAACGGCGGCAACTAATTAGTTCGGCCTAAACTACCGTACGGATGGGGGTCTTCGCACGGTTCGGGGTTTCCGCACGTACCGGCGTCTTCGCACGGAGGTGCAAAAAAAGGGCTCCAAAATGATTTGGTATCAATATCGCTCAGGACACGTTGTTCCTGCACAGGGGTGCGGAGCTCAAAAGCTTCGGTGAGGTTGGGAGCATATCCTCGTATCTTGTTATGATGATTTTGTTTAGGATCGCCCGGGTTGGGGCAGTAGTCTACTCGTAATGGGGTATGCGCTCTAATTCGATTCCGCACAGGGATCGGGGTCTCCGCACCCCTGTGCGATAACAATGTGAGAACCGAAATAACCAGAGCAACGGCCATAGTCTACATATATACCACGCCCCGGTTGTCCAGTAGGTATCCACCACCTACTACTGCACCAGGGACCAGGTCATATGGGTTCGAGTCCCAGCGAAGCGATCTTTTCACTCTCGTTCCCGGCGAAACCGACAACCTTGTTAGTTGTTATTCTTCGACTTCGTTGTTGACGAGGGTGGGGAGTGCCGAACCCTGCTCGCGATTACAAACCTCAAAGGCAGGTACCGCGGGAGGGGCGTCACACCTTTATGACCCCGGGTGCGCGACGAATATATGCTGATGGGCAGGAAAACAAACGTGAAAATGGCCCGCATCCTACGGAGGCACTGCTCTGCAGCTCCTTTGGGAGGGTTTTAGTCGCGTTACGAATTTGAGCAACACAGCTGAGAGATTTTTGGCTCGTCTGCAGTCAACACTCAAGTACTATTTTCTACATTTCCTAAGCTCTCAGAGAGCGAGGGTATAGGAATGACGGATGAGATAGCTTACGGTTACACAGGGTCCGTGCGTTCCTTAATTTATTTGGGCGCTCCTCCTGTGGCGTTTGAAGTTGAAAAGACAAGCATGAGACTCATAATAGAGCCGGGACTATCATGCGATTGTCGTGTGCGCTTGCTACCACTTTCGCGACTAAGTTACAAGTGGGGAATGCGGGACATTTGTACCGAGGGCGTGTTGTTGGTCGGCCGCGCTTTTCAGCCCTTTTTTAGGAAACATGAGTACATATAAACACAAAAAGACTGCCCATTCGAGATATAACGACAACCGAACGGCATGTGTTGGAGTCTTTACAGTGAACGGAGGGAAACCGGCTGGGTACTGGGTACTGGGCTTATTTCGAGTCTCCTACAGTATTACCCAGTCCCTCCGCAAAAACAAATGCCGAAAAAAAGCTTGTCAGCCATTGGTCGAGGGCCTACAGCCCCTCCAAAGAATCTGAGCTCCGTGCCAGACAAAGGGTGACTTGGCTTCAGTACGAAAAGTGTCCCCAAATTTCGTGGGGACACTTTTTCATACTGAAGCCAAGGCAGCAATTTTTCCAGCACGAGGCGATGTACAGTTCTACGGCCCAGGGGGCACGCGGGGTGGGAAATAAATCTGTACAGCAAGTCAGAGGCCCAGGAGAGGCATCACACAGATGTCACACAGCGTACCACCTCAGCCAAGCATGATAGACCAAGAGCTCTCAGGTGCGTCGCACACAGCGGAACCTATGGTGACTACAGTTCGGTGAATAGGCATTGAAGTGTTGTGTCGAAAAGTGTCCCCAATGTGTCCCCATTTGGGCTGCCAGTACTACGAGGGTTAATCAAGCCTAATCTAGACTATACACTGAAAAATATATATATCAGTGATGCCAGCAGCTGCTAATCACAATGACACTGTACAACTGTTGAGGCGCAAGATGCATGCGTCCCTTCCCCCGTGCGCAGTCAGTCGTGTTGGCGGCATCGGCGTTTGTTTTTGGCAAGACCTGAAACATATGAATATAATTCAAGACCTGAAATTCACTTGCCAGAACACCTTTCAAGCCCGAACCTGTTCGTTGGAGTGTGCACTGCTTTCACTCCGTTCCATTATGATCGGTCGCCCCGATGGTCGACAGTAGTTGGTATCCTCGAAACCTTCTAGGGGTCAGCTCAGGGGTTCGAATCCCGGCGTGAGCGAGCTTTTCTTGCAAAGAGAGATTTTCTCTCGCTTCCGTTCCTGACCTAGTGGACAGCGCTAGTTCGTGCGTACACAGAGGGGAAGGGAGTGCTGAACTTTTCTCGCATTAAAAATCGAAGGGAACGTACCGCAGGATGGGGGGGCAGAGATGGGCCCTTCTGTGTAACCACGGGTAGGAGTAAAACGGCAGTGGTGCTGTCAGCGCTGATTTGAAGTGAAGACCAAAAAAAAACAACAATCGGTGGAGTGGGCATGCGGGTGCTGCTTCGATCAACTGGGCGCAGCGTGGGCATTCGCTCTGGGATTTGATGCATGCATACCGTGTTGCTGTGACGGCCGCTGTGGCGTGTACTCTGTAGCGCGAAGTCAAAAATATCGGGAACTTCGCAACGGACTTCTTCTGCCGCTGCTGCAGTTGCTTCTGCTCCTTGTTTTATCAACACACGGATAGAAGGCAGTGGTATGATGCCATGTCCTAGCAGTTTTCAGCTCGAAAGGTGGTCTGTCGAGTAAGAAATCCAAAGCTAGCTGTTCCCTCTTGCATGAACCCCCTTCCCACAACAGCTGCACCACTACAGTATAAGCTGTGTTATTTTTTCAAATAATCTGTGTTTTTTTTTCAGCTTTGTTTGGGTGTGTGTGTTTTTTTGTTCTGTCTTGTATTTTGTACCCTCGCGACAACGGCGAGTGCCCTTGCGCGCGGACATCATGTGACTATGCTGCGAGGGTCTATTTTCGTAATAGGCGCTCTAGGGAAGGCGTGGTTCCTATGATGCCTTCCTGTCTGGTACTACAGAAGAGCAGCTTCTGGACTTCGAAGAAGTAGTAAGTATAGCGGTGGTCGCGTTTGTTTGTGCTCCAGAAAAAGTAGGAAACAGCGGAACGGCGGTTGGCATTCTTTCTCTTTCTCTCTCTCTCTCTCTCTCTCTCTCTCTCTCTCTCTCTCTCTCTCTCTCTCTCTCTCTCTCTCTCTCTCTCTGCTCGCAGCCACTGACCCCAACCTCCTGAACTGTGGTTTCCAGCACCTCCGTTCAGCTTTACCGCCCGTGGCTGCGAGCACGGCTGTGACAAATGTTGGATTCCGCTTGGTTCTGGCACAGGCGATGTATTTCAAAGGAGGAGACCTGTGGAAGTAGACGCGTGAAAAGTATGTTTTGAGCACTGCTGTAACGAGAAATCACTCAATGATTTTTCTTTTTCGCAATGCTTTTTTGTTGCTCTTGCGGGTCCAGTCATCAGAGCCCTCTGTGTCTGCCATTCTTTAACAACACGCACCCGACAAAGCACGTAATTACTACCCACAGCACTAGCTCAGGTCCGTCTCACCTCGCTCTCTCTCTAGCTGTCTGCGGGAGTGTTGAATTTTGCCTTCAAGGTCTCCGATCTGGTTGGAGATGATGAGATAATTTGCAGGTCACAACTTGCCGACGGTCGGGCGGGTCGTTATGTAGCGATCGTGAGATGTGTGACAAGACCAGCAGACAAAGAAAAGCCGCTCCCAGCTGTCACACACCGTGCACCGTGCACACTTCTGTTCTCACATTTCTTCCTCTCGGACAGAAGCAGGGGGGGGTTCGTCCAGTGACTATGCCAGCAGGTGATTTGGCTGAAGAAGCCGCGAAGTTAGTTGTGACGGAGGGGAGCAAGGAGGCTGCGAAAGTGGTGTCCCGAACAGAAGGTACGGGCAGATTGGTCGTACTTGTAGTTTTTTCATCTATTCGGGCGTTTCTTCGTTTTTCTTCGTTTTTTTTTTCCGTTTCCATTGTGCTTGCTGTGTGTGCCCCGCCCGCAAGGGTGATGATATTAACGTGCTTGTCACCGGTTTGCCGTGACCGCCGGTGACAGCAGAAGTATTCAAAACAAGCAACACGCATTTCTATATACGTCACCCGATTCGGAGACTGTTGAATCTAGAGAACGAGTGTCTTTCAGGGATAAGCATGTATTTTGGTCTTATTTTGGAGCCCCCATATATACGTGTCATTTTCTTAGTTGTCTTCCGTCACACTTAGTTATCTTCCGTCACACGTCACACGTCACAATGTGACTTATCAATCTTCGAGGCACTCTCGTACTTTATCAAACGAAGCTTATACAAGTAATGTCGAAACTAGGGATCCTGGGGGGGGGAGAGGACGTTCCGTATTATGGACGTACTTCTCCTCATGGACGTAATGTAGTTTGTCATATCATGTTATATATATACTCACAGGATGGTCGTCGTGACGTGATACATTTCTTGTTATTAGTATGGGAAAAAATAAAAAAAGATGGCTCGATTTTTGAATTTCTACAGTAGTATGGACCAGACGCCGACTTTACATGGAAGTCGTACGAGTGTCGACTTAGTTGTGCTGTCACAGCATCTTCCACGCACTTCTGCCAGTGCTGGTTTGTTGATTGGAGTCTTGTAGGTCGAGATACAGCAGTGGGATTCTCGGGTTGTGGAGGCAAAAGTGAACCAGAGCAAAAAATTTCATGCTTTAGCTCGATTACTGCTGTGTTTTTGCGACAGCAGTATGGACTAGACGCCGAACGAGGTCCGCGTACTACCGCAACGACCTAATTGGATGGGATACTTCCTGCCACGGCGAACCATAGTACAGTGCGATGCAAACATCCGTTCGTGTGTCGCGCGGCTGCCACATGTGTCGACGACAGGTACACGTAGAGCTCTCGCCATGTTGTCGTTACCGCGCAGGAGGACCCCTCGGAGATCTTCCACATGGTGCTACAACGACAGCAGTACTACTGTACAATACATAGATGTCGTAGGAGAGTGGAGTTGTGCTGTCACGGCATCTTCCACGCACTCTCCTACCGGTGCTTGTGTCGTTTGGAGTCTTGTAGGCCGAAATACAAGAGTGGGTTGGGTTCCCGGGTTGTGGAAGCAAACCTGCCTGCAACAACAGAGAAGGCGGTGTTCTATTTACTTGTAGTATCCCGCTCAGTTTTTTTTTTTTTGCGACATGTGGTGGCATATTTCTTTGCCACTGCCGAAAAAGACCGCTGGATCTTCACGCAGTCCACCTTTCGCATTTATCATTTTACACCGAACGACGCAGGACGGGTCGACCTTCATCATTGTTGTTGTTGTTGTTGTTGTCTTCACATGAAAAACCGTTCCGATCTCTCTCAACCCAGTAACTTCATATGTCCGTACTTGTGGATCAGTCTACCTGTTGGAAATTTTGGGAATCCCTTCATTCCGAGAGAGCCACAGGTCGGCATCCGGCCTTTTCTTTTTTTGTATGCACTTTTCTTGTACGATTTTCTTCCTGTGAAGTTTTGACGTTGCGCTTGCCATCGTCGCTGAAGTGTTTGTGGCCTCAAACCTTCTGAGCCGGCCTTCAAACTTCTTGTTGATAAGTCTCCGTGGTAACTTCTTCGCGCATGAGTCATATGCAGTTATGACCTGCGCTTTGACTTTCACGATGGGTATTTTACCTCTTTGTCTTGCATTGGTGAGTACCTGGGTTATACGGAAGGATCGTTCCACGACGCAAACGTCGACGTCTCTGTTTTTTTTTTTGTTCCCTCCACACTCCTTCCTTGCCGCGGTTTTCACACCGACTTCGAACGTGGGGTGCAATTTCCTCTCTTCGTACCTTCCTCGTCCGCCTTCTCCATCGATATGTACATAAATGTGTACCTCGATTTTTCGGCTTTTCGATTCCGATAGAGACAAGACTACGGACTGGCAATTCCCTTACACCCCCGACGGGACCGCGTGCTCATCGAGTGCCGAAATTCTTCACCACTTCCTTGCCTCTCCCAACACCGTCCCTTCTTCCCGCCCCAAGAAATCTTCTCCCCTTCTTCTTCCTCTTTCCTTCCTCCCGGACACTCACCACCATCCGTCCTGGATGTTGGCCCCCAGCCCCATTGGGGGGCGGGGGGCCAATCCTTAACCCTAGTAATATATGGTATGAAATCTCGGATGCACCAACCACTCCAGTTTCCATTTGGGATATATTCTATTTTCACTGCTCTCGTTACCCTTTTTCTTTTTCCGCGGATCGGCGAGGTCCTATGGCAGCAGACGCCTTCATGATAGGGCATGGCCGACCATCAGACGGCGCCATGACCGCTCCGTCCCGGCTTTCTTTGCAGGGATGATCCAACAGCAGTGTGCTGTAGGATTCGGCAATATGTTCATTATTCATACCCCTTTCTGCTGCTGCTGCTGCTGCTACCGCCTTCTTCTTGGTGTTGTGGCGTGAAGCTCCATCCGCCGGATCATTTGGTGAAGCCATGGTGGAAGGCGCTATAGCGACAGGTTAGTGATGCATCAAACTGTTGGAACCCAAAGTGGTACCCTTGTATCCAGCGAGAGAGTTCGATTCCGGACGCGACGAATACTGCAGGGTTTCGAAAACGGTTTCAAAAATTAACGTTTGGTTGGACGCAACATCGCGAGATAACACCAGTGTTTCGACCTCACCTGGGCATTGCCGAACCCTTCGCGCGAAAAAAAATAAGGCACACACCGCAGGAGAATTGTGGGGGAAAACAAAAATGCCTCCTGCGTGACCCGGCTGATGCGTTGGCGGCAGAGACCAGACCACCGAAGGTGTACAGTGCACCGAACAGATATGTAGATGATAGACGCCAAAAACATAGGGCCAAAGTACAGGCACGCACCACCACATACATGCATTTTGCTGTTTGGACATGTTCGATCGGAAACAATGTGAAACTCAGGGTGAAACTCAACATGCATAACTAACGAACCAGTTGCATCGATTGATGTACATTTGCTGGACATACGAACCTCCGCGGGTGTCAACAATAGAGGCCATTGCGAGGGAATAATGTATGCAGGGGCTTGCTGTACTCAACTCCGGGCCATGACAACGACAATGTGAATCAGGGCTGAGATTCTTTGTTTTCCATAAGTGTTTTGGCACTCGAGTCCGACGCACAGGAAAACGTTAGGAGGCCCCATCCAATAAATGTACAGAGAGTCCTCGGCACCCCATACCGAACAAGGAAAAACACACTGTAGTTGAGAGATTTTTCGCTCGTTGTTTTCTACTTTCCAATGAGCGAGTGAAGAAACCCGGACATTACATCTTTCGGCACAAGACGGATGCCACTGACGAAATAGCACGTGACATTTCGGCAGGATATTTGCAGGCATGCGGATTCCCGACGTCACAAACGGTTTAAACGGATATCGAAATGCACATGTTATGTATCGCTGACAAGGCACCCTTCGTTATCTTCGTTGGCGCCTCGCCGCCGTTGCGTGACGCTCTCCCACGCGTCAAGTGGCTTGGAGCGCCGCGCGCCTCGTTTGTGTCAAGAGCTTCGACTATATCCAGACCTACAGACGGCATCTCAAGGCCAAGTCAAACGCAGCGGCTGGTGAGGTCCTACCTTGAAATTCCACTCGTTTCACGGAACGGCGAAAAACACACGCGGGGCGCTGAATCCCCCGAAGATTGTACGTGCACAACATGCCCAACACTTCGCAGCTCCATTTCTGCGGGGTTCTGGCTTGCATTGCCTTTTTCAGATTTGTGCTGCCAGCATCAACTGGCATCAGAGTCGTTCCGAACACCGTGAAACACATTCCTGTGCCTATTTTAGTGAGCGAGTCAAGAACTCCCCGCCTCCTGCTGCCCTCATCGTGCGCGTTTTGCAGCAAGGGGCCTGAATTCCATCCCGTGGAACACTGAACATGGAGCTGATGGCCCGCCGGCTCCGTGCCCCAACGACGAGAGAAAGTTGCTTGAGGTACCGTGTGTCTGCATTCGTTTGTGGCGATCGTGGCAAGCCGAAACTGACAACTGGACTTGGTCGATTCCGGCGGTGGCAACTGTGGGCTCCAAGCAAGATAGATAACGCCGCTTGCGTAGACGCGTCATCCCGGAAATGGGATATATTTTCTGTTGCTTGTTGCCTAGACCCAGTGACTGCTGTACTTGCTTCATGCTGACGGTATGTATGCTCACGTCTTTCCCCCGTTATTTATTGGCAGGAGCTCGAAGTGGCTGCCAGCGCCGGAGCAAGAGACCGTCGTAAGATTTACGAAGAGATTCAACGTTTGGGCCACAAGTTCGACCATATGGTGAGTTTATCTTTCCCTTCCAGATTGTTCATTCCGAGCACGGCCAGACTGATTTCCAGAGAAGGCCAGTACAATAAAAAAGCAGAAGCTGAGGAAAGAACTTTGCCATCTTACACTTGTTGTATTTTTGTGTCGGTGCATGCAGCCTGCAGCCCAACAAGTCAGAAGAGAATAGTATTTTTTTGGCTGGTATTTGTGTCTCGAGACACGAAGCCAGTTTACGAGGGTACAGAAGGTCGGAAGTAAAGAGAAATCGGCGTCCGCGCTGATATTAATGTGGCGAGGTTGTCGTGTCACGCTGCCACACACAAGCAATCTGCGGAGTGACCAAGGTGCATTGCTTCAGATTCGCCTTTCCCCTACCATCAATCGGCACATCTCGACAGACCCGAAAAACCCTGTCCGACAAGCTAGTGGGCGCGACGAAGAACCTGTTCGAGTACCACCAGACTCACCGCACGTCCTTACTCGATATCGCCCACAACCAGGCTCTCGAGGTCGAAAGGAGCAACGAGGTAAGCCACCTCAGAGCGAAAGCCCCCACGAATTCTGTACCCCGAACGCAGGTTGTGGTGTGCGTGCATCCTCGGACGACGCACGGTGCATGGCCTGAGTTGTGGCACACCGCTGTTGGCATGCCGTAGCCTCCGTTTTCTATCCAAGACGAACCCGTGTCTCCAGTATGCACTGATGCACCGCAAGCGTGCTTACCCGAGACATTCTCTGGTGGCGGTATATGCCAAACAGAAGCTCTGGACTTGGTATCCAGGTTTATGCCCCGTACGTGTTGAATCACCTAGATCGCGGCCAGACTCAGTTTGTCTGCTTTTCTTCGCTGTGCACTTGCGAGAAGCGGGCAGCAAGGCTTTCAACTAAGCGTGACCGCGAGCTATCAGCCAGTTACGCGAAAACCACCGATGCCCCATTGGCTAAACTCCTTTCTGTTTCTCTCTCGGTGACTTGTAGTCACTTGTGCTGCCTTTGAGAGCGCTGAGCACTCGGACCTCGATCATATACCTACGGGTCTTGTCCGAGGGCGACAAGACACCGGAAACGAAGAAGAAGGCCAAGAAGGAGTGCATAGACGTGATAAAGTCCACTTTGTCGGTAAGAACGGATTTGTTGTCTTACATACAGCCGATAAATATGCGAATACCTGTATCGTTCTCTGTAGCGAGATTGTGCTACTGCGGTAGGTTGAAGTGCTTGCCTATTATTTCCTGACGAGACCCGCCTGCGTTTGTTGTTGCTGTTGGTGGCTTCTTGGCGTTTCCTCCGCCCTCAGCCTTTTGCGTTAGGGATGCCTAGATTCAAAACGTCTGGAGGTTTCCTTCGAATTGATCAGAGGCGTACAGGCTTCCTGCTCGTTGTGCCTCATCTCGGCGGATTGGCGGAACGGTGTTGATCGAAATGTATGTTGCTTCATGCCGAAGGCTTCCGTTTTTCCCGCTGGTTCTCTCATGTTTTTGCGGTCGGTTTTCCAGGGATGTGCGCCGGCACATCTTAAGCCCACGTGCCTGAGGTTCCTGTTATCTCGGAACTCGGCAGACGACATGCAGCAAACTGAACAAGTGGACGATGAGACGGCGGATGCTTTCGACACCATTCTGGAGGTCATGTCTAGTGTGCACGTGTTGGAACCCTTCGAGGAGTCGGAGGTGCGCCGAAATTTCTTTCCGCTCTATGTAGTGTTAGAAACCCTCACAGGCTTGCCAGCCCTCCGCAACAACAAAACACAAGCCCTCCAAACTATTATCGCCGACCGTTGCCATAATCTTGTTTGACTCATGTAGCCGCTAATCCTCCGCAGGTATCGCGGTTGAAATTTAATATAAACACGTAGGGGCAAGTATTGGAAAATTGCCACCGCTTTGTATACATCACCGCCAAGTTGGAGTCCACCGGAGTCTATAGGCTATACATTTCCTCGAGGGTATCATGCAACTTCCCTAACTTTGGCTTCCCCCGACTGGGACATTTTGTGTTGAAAATCGCATGGCCGGGGGCATTCTCAACGGGGTGGGGATAATCTCTCGAGGAAATTCAAACGTCGGTATGCTGTAGGTTCCGCCGAATTTTGGTTTAAGGGGGGAAACTAAGGAATACTGCGGTACACATATGTCCAAGTCCCGCATGACGACGTCATGCTCGATCCCGAGAGTCGAGTGCTTTGTGTCCATGTGGTAAAAACGCAGAGAAATATGGGCAGAAATTTAAACCGGATATTTAAGCCAGCTTGTAACTCATGGGGAAAAACCAGCTCAGGATAGATCAGGGGGAAATGATCATTGCGCCACTTTCAGCAAACCTTGCGCGGGAGGGATTCAAGGGGGTGGCGGCACATAACTCCGAACATCATGTCCAGCACACACACGGAGAAAACCCAAGTCATGCACTCGGTGCCGTATATTCACGTCACTCGTTAAGAGGTACTCCCTCAGCTTCGCCCGCTGTCGCAGGTTTTCGAGACAGCGTGTGACCGCATTGGTGTCCTCAAAATGATGTTTCCCTGTTCTTGACTTTGAGCCATCTTCGCGCATGTAAATAGTTTCCACCCTTGAAACATTGTGGGGCCGCTGCATCACCTGTGCTCAACGGCCGCCAAAATATCTCCTTCGGTGCCTCATTTGTTCCATTTTGTTTTCTTTGGTGTTCAACCCCATGGGTGAAAATCGCCAGAGTCCTTTGCTGGCAGAAGGTGTGCCTGACGTCGTCCTCCATGCCTTGTCGGCCTACTGCAAGAGCGAGCCGGACTCCTCCCGTGACTACCCAGACATTGTGGACGCTCTGAAACAGTGGAAGCCCAGGTAGGTTCCAGCCTAGGCGTATCTGACGTAGGGAAAGTTGCAAGCCAAGCCGTTTGGTTGTTTCCTCAGGGCGAGGTTTGCACCTACTTCGGTTCTGTAGGTACAGCAGTGACATGCCTACCACGTTCGGAAGACACGGCATCCCGGTTTCGTCGTCCCAAAGCAGTGAACTTAAGGTTTCGCCGAAAGCGGCCTGCTTGCTACGGCAAGCTTGCGATTATTGCGTGACAGAGTTCTGGTCACTTGGTTCACTTTGAGACCCACAGCCACTTTGACGCCCCACCACGTGTTGACCTTGCTGAGCCTACGGTGTCGTGAACACATGTATGTGCCCCCAACAGAGCAGAGCGGGTGGATTCGTTGGCTTTGCTCCCTTTGTACGCGGCCACGAACGGACCGGGGTGGGCATGCAACAAGGGCTGGGATGGCGATAGCCTCTTCGAAGGACCATTCTCGTCCCTGTTCGGGGTTTCTACGTCGGAAGAGGGGAGGGTCACCAAGATTGCACTCGGCAGCAATAACTTGTCCGGTGGGTTTGGGTTCCACTCAGCGGGTTTTCCCTGTGCATTTCTTTCGCCGTGTAGTGCGTCCATTTTTGTGAGGCATCTTCGCTGTTGCCAAGGGATCCCTGATGGGCGGTTGCTGTCGGTTTCGGTCAACATTAAAAACGCGGGCACCGAAATTGTGGCTGTTTGCGATTTTACTTTCTCTCCCAGCTCTGTACGTTATTGACACCGAGCCTATCAAACCTTTGTCTTTTCTCACTCCTTGTGTCACAACGTCCCTCTTCTCGTCTAATTGGGCTCTACATGTCAAAGGCAAGGACGAAACGTGCGACACGCTTCGAGTAGCTCCCGTCTCCAATTTGCACTCCTTGGGGTGTCCTTCCTCTTGTATGCTGTTTTTTCGTTCCGGCGGCCGTTCATGTATTGTCGCAGGCCACCTCCCCCCCCAGCTGGACAAGATGGATCGCCTAGAGGAGATAGCTCTACCGGGAAACAAGCTAGTCGGTGAGCGACACTCAAATGTTGTGCTCGTCGTCAAGCGCCCCTTGATCTCATATTTTCGGCAGTCTTGCGATCGGTATAATGCTGGCATCTACAGCTGCATAGCATCGAGGGAGGAGTGTTATGGCCACTCCGACAAGTGACCATGGCTGGTTCGTGTTCTCTTGGCACGGCTGCTCAAACACCTAAGTTCCACTTTTTCACCACGAGCTTTCACCACGAACTTCTCCCGCTTTTGGCCACCTACTCCTTCCACGCAACCTTAAAGGTGAGGTACCACAAGAGTTGTGGCGCCTCCCTGAGCTTCAAGTTGTGGCGCTTCAGGACAACAGTATCTCAGGTGTGTGATTGAGCTGAGTAGTACCGGTTTAATTCCAATCTGGACACGTGTTTTGACGCTTCGAGGTGGTACTGCTGGCACGCGAACTTGCCCATGACGGAGGGGGGTTGATTCCACGAAGTTTGTTGACCTATCCCTCCTGCTGCAGTTCTGTCTGGTAACGAACAATTTGCTGAGGTGGAATCGAGGGGGTGCCTCTAGGGCACCCAAAAAAGGGAGCTCGCATGTTAGTGGTCAATAATCAATCCGCTCTTCCAGGGTGTCACCGGGCGAAGACTACTTTTTCTGCCCGTTCGCCCTTGTATCTTAGAGGTGTGTTTCGTGTAATAGCGTTGGGAGTACCACCCGTTCCATCGCCTCCAGGCTACTGCAACTGCCAAATGAGGATACCGATGCCTCGCTTATCCACAATGCCCCATGCCGACGTGTTGTTCAGCTACGCCTCCAGATGACTCCGGATTCAGGCCAGCATCACAGGCATCACCCGAAGGAGCCACTACTGGGGGCACGTACGAAGAGCCTCCTAGGCAGCGTGGGGGTCTTGCGGTGCGCCTTCATGATTTCTTCAATGAGGGTAGATATTGTCTTGTGCGCCCAATTTTATTTGAGACTATGTTTGCTTGTGCATCAACCGCGTCTTCTTTGAGCTCTCAGGATGTACTCATTGGGTTGGACCCTTGCATGTCTTCGGCGACCGCGTTAGGGAACATCAGTATAGTAGTGGGTGGTGCTCCACGGAATCGTGATTTTTTTGCTGCAGTGAGTCTGGCACAACCGATGCGAACCATGCCGTATCAGCCGGGATGACTCAGAGCTCCTTCCATCGCACTGCATACCCCAAAGTCATAACTTGACAATACTCTGCCGCGCCCACTTGACGATTCTAATGGTATTCAATGTTTCGTGCAGGCCACGGTGGAAGCGTGTCACTCTGACAAAATCTATGTTTGCCCCGGAGAAGTCTTTATGTGCTCATGGAAGATAACCAACACGGGCGGTGACCCCTTCCCGAAGGGAACCGAGCTGATCAAGGTATGTGAGTTTGTGACAATTGCAGATCCGCTGCACGTTCCATATTCATGAAATATGGCTGTCTCTAAAAAGACGGCAGTGTCTCTTCCGCAGCCCTGGTGCGCAGGAAACAGGTGGATTCTCGCGCGGGTTGATTGTTCGTCGATGCTGAATTTTCTGCGGACCGTATGTGTCGCTGGAGTAAATCGGAGTACCTTGGTCTACTTCGCCAAGTTGATGTGGCCGTTTCGTGCGTGTGGCTGTGTGTCGGTGAGCAGGCCAAAAGTTACAATAACAGGGAGAGCTTCACGGCCGGAGACAACAAAGTGATGGTAAACCTACTTCAGCCCGGAAAGCAACAAAACGTCAGCGTTATGCAACGAGCGCCCGACCACGTGAGTGGAGGAGCGCCTTTTTTCTATGATGCACGGTTGTGCCTTCCACCTCCGGACCAAACACTTGCCTGTCATCCACGTTAACTTGTGTTCATTGTCTCGGCATTTTGCCTGTTTCGAACGACTTGGGCTAGCATATTTCGAGTCCCCTCAGCAAAAAGAGCTTTACTGGCTGAACAGACCCCTAGGTCTCTCACCGCAATTTTCATTACTCTCACGTACAGCTCCGCTAGCGGAACCCTAGGTCTGTCAAGGCATTGTAGATATACGGTAAATATCATGTAAAGGGCTCAAATATCGTGTCGGTTGTGGTGATTGAATTGACGTACGCATGTACGTGCGCTGTTACCGCTGTCTGTGCTCTCGCTCACACCGTTTCGGCTCGCACGTTTCGGCTCGCACCAGGAGGAAGTCGTGTGCGCCGCTGTACTGCACCCGCCCTTGCGTATCTGGTCATTTTGTGTTGGTGGAGCGATGTCGCCTGAAAGTGTTGCCATTTAGTCAGGAACTGCTCCTCTTTTGGGCAAGTTCTACCCTTCTTTACGATCCCAGGCCGATCACACCTAGACTATAGCCCAATGGTGGACAACTCCATCTGAGAATTTCATTTCTAGTCCATCGATATCCTCAACAGCGTTCCGCCCATGTCGAAGGGCGTGTCGATGAACGCGTCCAAGTTTGTTTCGTAGATGCCGATCGATATATACTACCTGGTATGGACAGATCCACGCAATGTGCGAATAGGGTTGCTCGCGTACACCTGGTGCTTCTGCTCATTTTTTTCTCGGGAAGTTCAGCCCTTTATGCTCGCACAGATGTAAACCACGGCAGACGACACAAGAGTGATGTGCTGCCTGCCTGCCTGCCTGCCTGCCTGCTCCCTACCTGGTCTGGTCTATCTCGCTCTGATTTCAAGGCAACCGTCGGATCGGAGCAGTGGGCGCTTGTTGGCGTTTGTGGTAGTCTCGACTTCGAAGGCGACCAAGTGAAAACATGCTCACGGATCTATGTCCAGGATCAATTCGATGACGGTTGCGAGGAGAGCGCCGGGGGTGGCAAAAGCTCGTCCCCACCAAAGACGATCGGCGTGCTTATTCGCTAACCGCAGCTCTTCGCAGTTCCTACCGGGTGTTTCCCTACGGTGCAGGGTGTATAAGGCTACCTAGTTTAGTCGCCCAAGCACCTCTCAGGGGAAGTTTTATGCTTTGTCGGGGGTCGATATATTGGTATTGCGATAAGAGTACCTCGAGAGCCGCGAGAGGAACGCCAACCCCTTTGGTGTGGTGGGCCCCGCCCTTGCACCCCCTGGACTTCCCTTCCCGTACCTTCCTACGCCATCGTGCCAACGTTCGTGAGTAGCACGCGGGTACAAGACGAACAAGCTGGCACTGCACGGGGGGACCAAGAGACAATAACGTAGAGAGACACACGGCTGCCCAAAAAGGGGAGGAGAGAGATATGACTGACTGATTGTTTATTTTGTGCGGGGGGATGGATAGGGCCCTTGTGGTTGGATGTCGATGCTTGTTTGAACCCTGGCCATCTAGCATTCGAAGAAACTTGGATACTAGATGAGAGGTGAGCAGCGAACGTGTTGCGCTCTCGTTATTTGCCAGCGAGTTTCTTCCCAGACCTCGTAGAGAACAACAAATATGAATGACACGGACTGTCAGGAGAAATTCTGGACGCACAGGCTCAAACCTAAGTTTCGGGTGCGGATGGGGGTCACATCCGTTCCTGTTGGGCCCCCAGCAGAATCCAATGGGCGTGGTGGGGGGTTAGAGCTATTAATCTTCAAACGAACCCTACACAGAAAAACCATCCAAATACTAGGTCCCTGGGGGGCGATGTGTCCAGATTTTTCTCCCGAGAGACTCTTAATGACACATTGTAGGCGGCTGCGGGAGGCCTTCGACTTCCCGTAGGTCTGTTTCCTTACCCTTGCGGGTTGTACCTTTTTTTTTTCTCGGTGGTATGATATGTACCCTATCTTCTGATCTAGCGCCAGCGAGACGGAAGGCCTCTTCGGGCTTCAGTTTAGTATCGCAGGGTGCGTATATACGTACGGCGCCTTTGCTTAAGTTTCTTCCGCGACGTCCAGTGTACCTTGTTTTGTGACTACGGGCGCCCATGGGTGTTTCGGACTGTTGAGAGCTATTATTGTGAGAACCAACAAGAGCGACAACTTCGAAGGAGCACCAAATGTTTTTTTTATCGCCGTCTCCGTTCCTAGCACACGCTGGACAATACGATATGTAAAGCTTATTGGTGCAGTCACTATGTATTGAAAATTCACATCAATTGATATCGTGTGGTTCAATATGTGAGGAGCACATCGATCGACATGTATTGCTTGCATCACCATGTTTGCCGGTTGTGAGCAATAGACTACGCATTAAATTTTCAATAGGCTCGAAATAAATCATTCCGTATGGATTGCTCTTGCCGATAGGTTCGAAGACACAAATGCAATATGCGTTGATCTGTAACACGGTTTGGCAAACATCGCTCCGATATACATTGCTGTTACCGATAGGGTATTGTTCGGCAATACGGCGCCGCGGAAATCGATACGTCCCGTTGAACACATATATATGTTTTGTATCGACGAATTCAATTGTAAACGTATTACGCGGACAATAGGTATTGGTCGCTACGGTTATCAACATATTGTTCCTCCAACATATATCGATCCAAGTCAGCGATATATTGCATCAAATTGCCCTGAACAGCACCCTTTTTCTGAACGTCGAACGATATACAATACATTGATTGGCCGTTGTGAAAGGACATGCTGTAAAGATTACGATATACGATACGTATATCGTAACATTTGCTTAAGAAGCAGGTCCATCCACAAACTCTCAATCGATACGTATTTTCCCGAACGATACATTGTGCAGACACTCGTCAATGCGTGTTACGGCCACCAATACGTGACGTATTGCGATAGGAACGTATCTATATCCGTTGACTGTATTGTATATTGTCCAGGGTGTGGTTTCTAGACAATGTGCTGCCTTTTTCGTCGGCTCCTGTTTTCGAATTTGTTGTGTTGGCATGTACGGGGGTCAGCAGGGGCCTTGCCACAAGCAAGTTCGACCTACTTACGTTTTTTGTCTGAGCGGAAACGACCGCTCCGTGGCTAATAATAGTATCCTCACATTGTTCTCTCTGTTCAGCGCACCATACAGCAGTACACTAGCACCGTTTGATAACTAGTCTAGAATGATATTTTCTTTTGGACGCGAATTCTTTAGCCTTACGTGTTACCTCTCTGTTCTGTATCCGTTTGCCTTTCGGGTATAGCATGCCCACCATAGCACGTTGTTTTGGGTGTGTGTCCTTCGAAATCTCTTTGCCGCAAGATTCAGAAATGCAATGAACATGTGAACATCGTTCGTAGCAAGGATGAACTTGGATGGCCAATGCAAACAAAGAATGCCTGCAACTTCTGCAATTGCCTGCAATTTCTGAAATAGTTGCTCGAAAACTGCAGGTAGTCTAAAGTAGGCATGCATCCTAAAGAAATAATTAAAACACCTACAGTACATCAGGCACACACTTGGTTGCCTCGGACGACAATTATGTCAGGGGATACCGTAGCTTGTTGAGACCAGAGCTTCGCATCAAGCAGCTTCGTATGACGTACGGAGCAGAAAATAAATGCTGTTCGTTATCAACATAAATTGCTTGGTGTGCTCTCACGCAACTCTCGCGTTCTCTGGACCCGTTCCGGTCGTTCAGGTATGTTACATTTACACCAGTAACCATTGGAGTGCTGGTGGCGAAGGGTAGATTTGTTTCGTTATTTTCTGGGGTGGTATTCACTCCTCATCGGTTTTACAATCTTCTTGAAGGTGGAAGTGTGGTCACCGCTTCTGCACTCGTTGATTGGTCCTTCAGGGCAACTACCACAGAGAAAATACCCACAGACAAAGATCATGGACTATTCGGTCGTGAGTCGACGAACTATGGTCGGTCTGAGTTCGGGTGGCTCATTTCTGGGTGCTTGGAGTGTAAAGCAGGTCGGCCATGACGGGGCATATATGGGTAAACGTCGTTGTGTTATTCCGGGGGCGTGCTTGAGCGATCACGGCATCAAGTCACACATCACCCCCACAAATCGCTTGCCGCCTTCGGTTCCTGCCGGTGCGGTGACCGCCACCACCGCTGTCCCTCCCTGTGTCGCCCCCCAAGCCTCTCCGCCTGGTGTCGGCACAGACAAGCCTTTTTGCGTCACACTTCCTTCAAGACGTCGTCGGCAATTGCCGCATACTCTGCTTCCGTTGTGGAAAGCGTAACGCGCTTCTGCGTCATACCCCACACACACACATAACTAGCCCTCCCCGGTCTGCCGCCTTGCTTGTGTGTACCCTCTGGTTCACCAACTCATCGATCCGGACGGCGCCCTCTTCTGCGTGGCGGGCGTTCTCGTGATCTTGGTCGGCGGGGTGCATCTGTATACTACTGTTGATCGCCGCAATGCGATACTCCAACTACGCTCGACGCGAATGTTGTAGACGATAATCTTCAACATACCTCTCTCAGAGCCACTTCATGGATCGTGACAAAGTTGTAAGGGTCGCCGTGCTTGGAAGGCATCCCGAGAGTCTGCAAATGCGTCGTTCTAGAGACCTACCTACTCGCTATTCATCCACCTCGACTTAAATCGCACCCCCCACCAAACCCACAAAAGTTCCGCGGATGCGTAGAAAAGAATTACGGTGAACTGCGCAGCGGCGAGGCCGCGCGACCTTTGTTCGCGTTGGGATCCCTTAGGAAAACCCTGTTCTAAATATCGGCCAAAGGGATAACCCGATCGCGTTTCAGAAGCCCCCCAACTGAATCACGACCATCAACATTACACACCTTCCAGATCAGGTCACCATCTAATCAGCACCAACTGAAGATCTGTCGCCTCATGAGAGGGAAGGAAATGGAAAATGAAACGGCCACCTTCACGGCGCTGCAACCCCGTGCCGATCATGTGTCTCACAAAACCAACCTAATGAACTAGACCGGGACATGAACCACTCCGATCTTTACGACATTATTTACGCGGCCTCCCTCCAACACAATTGAGGGGAAGACGATGGTGCACTGCTGCCCGATGGGTGTGTTGGAGCACGGCGCCCAGTACCGGTGAAGAGATCCATCGAAAGTCGTGTTCATGCCTAGATCATCGTCCTTGAAGCCCATGGGGGGGTTTTGAAGCCCCATCTGCGACGAAGACGGTAACGGGGATTCGCGTGGTCAGCCCTAGCTTTTGCGGGCACAGTTCCGAAAACGAGATGAAACCAAAGGAGTGCTTCGCAGGCATGTTGGCAGATGACTGAACCTATTAGTCCAAACGGTACCTAGGAACGGCAAGTTGAGTTCACTCACCACGATGAACACTTGGAGGTAATGTTTCATGAGGGCATCGAAAAAGGGCCTTGCGTTGCCTGAAGTGATGCTTCCCGCAAGGTCCTCGTGCCCTTTACAGCGCTGCACGATTGTGACGGCGAGGTTTTGCACCTGGGATGGCTTCATCGACACGATCGTCTTGTAGTTTCTGCAGAGGCACGTGTACAGGACGTACTCCGTATCCAGATTCATAGATTTATCGCCTGACAGCGAGATTGGTTCATCTTCGCCTAGGCACTCCGTGAACGCCCGAAGCCTATTGTCCAGACAACGCATTGCCTCCTTCCTGCAGACATGGAATGTGTGCTCCAGTACAGCCCGTATCGTCGCGGTTAAGCCAGCTTGGGATCCGCCGAGGGTTGAAACCTTCTCCGTCCATCGGAGAGCATCGTCTATCAACCCATGCTTGATTTCCTGGAGCACAGAACGGACGCTGGGGAAATCGTTGCCGGGACGTACTCCCTTCACCTCACTGCGAAGCACGAGAGATTCATAAGCGTTGAGTTGGCGACGCGCGGCCTCCATGTCGGCTTCGGCCAATTCGCGTCTGCTCTTCTCGGTCGCGACCTTCTTTCTGCGAAGCCAAACGACCGGCGGAGGAAACATGACAACGGCGACAGCCATTTACGATACACATTTGCGTTTACAGCAATTGACATTCATGCGCGTTTGGGTTAATCTGCACTTGCGGGATACCGAGCGCAAAGAAATAAACTCATTGATTCCGTAGGCGTAAGATTTGTCCAGGCTTGTCTTTCGTTCCGAGTTCTACCGCACTCACCGAAGCGTATCCAGCTCCGCGTCGGCAATGCCAGAACGGTGGTGTGGGAGGCGAGTCGGTGGCGTTTTGCACCTGCGAAGGAAATACCAAGCGGCGCAGGCGACGTTTCCCAACACCAACGCAGACAGGAGGACCGCAACCACGATGACCTCCGTTGAGGTGCCTGTGACGCACGGCCCCAAAAACGTGGACACGAGGTAAGGCGGGTGTACAGCAACATCATCAACATCTAACGGAAACGGTCGTCATTACCCTTGTCGGCATCGATACACGGAGTCAACCAATTCGTCTTGTGACCAAATTTCGTTTTCGGTTGTTGTCAACCCAGTTGAGTGTTGCAGTCTCTCCATTTCGATCGAGGATCCATTTCGGTGCTCAACCTTACCAAAACCACCCAAATTTCTACCTTATCCACCGGTTGCAAGATATTCACAAAAGCGAGGAAGCTTGATGATTCAAGATCGAATTCTGACGGAGAACTATTTTAAACTAGCCGAAACATGGTAATGTCAACATATTGTCGACAAATGTCAACTTATTTTCGGCAATACGTCGTACACAAATCCACCGTACATAGCAATCTTTTTTCACTCGTACCTTCTGAACCTGTGTCTTCATCCTCGTAATCTTCAGCTTCATCCTCTTCGGTCGTAGTTCCATCATCATCAGCGGCATCTCCTCCGTTTTCGTCGCCATTGTCCTGGCCTCCCATCGGGTTGATCAAGGTCATGGCCAGCACGGTCGTCAGAACCCATCGCGCCTGCAGGGTCTTCGCAAGCTTGGGCACGTGCGCAAGAGGGAGGGGGGTTGTCTGAAATCTACGTTCGCCCAGACTAGGCTGGGTCTAGGTCTGCGAAACGCTGGTCCTAGAGTATACCGTCGTCATTGGACTTTGCGAAACGGGGGAAAATTACATCCACGAGCGACATTATTTGACGGCAATACAAAAAATAAAGCATCGTGCGCGCACCCCAACGCAACCTACTGCCGACGGGGGAAGTAGAGCATGTCGAAGCAGAGAGCCAAACGAAGTCGTCATGGTGAAGACGCTCAAAACGAGCTACAGGAGGGGCCGAAGCAATCGGTTGCGGCGACATTCAGAAGAAACCACCGGGGGTGGAGGTTTAGCGGGAAAATGTGTGTGGTTCAGTTGGCAACGTTAAATCTTTATCTTGTGACGAGTTCGTCAGGTCTTGGGTTCGAATCTTGTTGAAAACAGTCAAATATGTTTCTTGGCAGCTTTCACAATGGAAGTGGAAAGCACCAAACTCGTGAGTACACACGAACGTTCGAATATTCATTTGTGAGGGATAAAGATTGCTGAAAACCGCGATCGCGAAAATAAAAGGAAACCACCGACCGCACAATCTCCCACACTGGCAGTTTTGCTAAACCGCCCATGGGGCACCCATGGGCAGCCGATGAACTGCCCACGAATTGCTCACCGTGGTAATTTTAACCTAGAACTCGCCACCAACCTATTAGGACTTAGCCATCGGCACATAAACCTAGAACTTCGTCACTATCGCCAACCTATGTAGCACGTATCGTGTGGGCGTGTGTTAGGGTTACGGTTAGCGTTAGGGTTTTATCGTTACAATGACCGTTTCGCAGCAGATAACCTATTATTTAGGAGACACTGGTTCCGGTTGAAGGGCATTCATTGGCCGCCCATGGGCTCCCATGCGCTGCCCATGGGTGTCCCGTGGGCGGTTTAGCGAAACTGTAGAAAGTGTGGGACGCCCCGACCGGAAGGGAGAGTGTACTCATAGTCGTGCATGCCGTAGTCTTTGATCATTGACCTCGCATCCCTACAAAACCGGGACGGAGCACGCCGGGTTCTCACCTGACCAGGCTCTCACATCACCAAGCGCGAAGCGCCGTGAGGTATTCGGCGAGTCGCATGGAGGGTGCGCTGCAATCTGCTAAGGGTGTTCGGCATCTTGTGCTTACTTCCTTTTAACGGATGACAGCTGCGAATGACTAAATTTATTTTCTGGTGCTTACACTTCCTGAGGCTGTAATTGCACTGCTGTGTAACTGCCTCGAGGGTGCGTGGCAATTTGAACACAACATAGTGCGATCATCCCCGTTGCGCGGAGTGAGCGCTAAACTTCGCACAACATAATCTTCACGACACCAATATGTTTACCGCAAAAAAACAAGAGGAATAAAAGCGGTAACCTGGTTGTCGAAGCGATCGGCTTGTTTTACAACGTCGTTGCCAAGCGACTAAAACCCAACCCCGATGGCAAACGGCGACGGGGTTGGAGGCAAAACTTAGATACGCACAAAAAAAAACAATTCAACCAATCGGCATCCTCCTGCGTGGCCCCAGCTACCACGTCTACTGCGAATATAGCTTATTATGTAATGACACCGATCTCAGCTTTTAGAGCATTGAAAAAGGTGCAAACAGGCGACGGAAAAAAGCATTAACAATGAGCTACAGATACCTCACCGCACACCCTGGAAAAATCCCGTCACTTTCACCAGCTCGTCACAGAAAAAGCCCCCCGGAGCCAACGGCTACAGCACGCCAATCTTAGGCATGAAGCGTCAATACATTGACTTGACGTTAAGGGCGCGGGGGGGATCGCAGTACCTCCTCTGAAAAATCCAGGAAACGCCTGCATATCTCGGTTTTCCAAAGTCTAACTCCAGTACGAAACTACCATCGTAAATTAACCGTCCGCAGCGGTCGCTTGTGTACAATGTTAGTAGCTGAGGGTGTACCCCTTGCGATACACTACACACTAGCGGTCCGCGATTTTCCAAACGATCCTTCTATCATCGAGTTCGGTGAGCTACAAGCTAGATTGTTGAAGCTGCTGTGCGGTCCAATTTTGAAACGCTTCAAGAACCTTTGCCTAAAGGCTGGACATGCATATACATGACCCTAGGCATTCAAATCGACAATGGCGACCAGCTGGATATGTGAGGGAAGAGCTGGGCTGAAGTTCGCGGCCCCATACACTCACATAGGCGGTGATTCGTGTTCACCGTGTGCTTGAAGCGTTTCAAAATTGGACCGCACAGACAGCAGCTTCAAAAATCTGGCTTGTAGCTCACCGAACTCGATGATAGAAGGATCGTTTGGAAAATCGCGGACCGCTAGTCTGTAGTGTATCGCAAGGGGTACAACCTCAGCTACTAACATTGTACACAAGCGACCGCTGCGGACGGTTAATTTACGATGGTAGTTTCGTACTGGAGTTAGACTTTGGAAAACCGAGATATGCAGGCGTTTCCAGGCGTTTCCTGTTTTTTTGAAGAGGAAGTACTGCGATCCCCCCCGCGCCCTTAACGCACCGGGGGTGCGATAACTCTCAGAGCGGTGCGATAATTCCGCGAGGTCCGATAACCCGAAACACTACTGCTGTTGTACTTACGGTCTATGGATGTACCCAACAAGCTGCGTGCAAGGAGCTTTTTGGAACAACGTACGCAGGGAATCAAGAACTCAAACAGAGAGCCTCCACACCACGAGATGCGTGGTTAACAGCATTTCCTACAGCAATGATGATGCACTATTGTATGGCCGAGTAGGAACCACCGAACGAAACATATTCTGCGCGGTCAACTGGGTGGGTCAACTCATCATATCAAGCTGTAAAATAACGGGCTGCAACCGTCGTGTACGAGTATGTATGTTGGTGGCGTACGGTATAACCGTAACCCACGGACTCACCCCCATTTTCGCCTCCGAAGGGAAGCCGAGAAGAAAGGGGGCACGGAGAGGTGAGCTCACTCGCTTTCTTCGTGCTTCCCCTGTTGTCGCGGGCGAGTGGAAAGGGGGGAGGGGGGCCGGAGAAGAAAGATACAGATAAATAGTTGTGTACAGTACCATGCGAGAACGGAGCATCCGTCGCACCAGAAAAAAACAAGATCCCGAAAAATTACAAAAATTCAAAATTTCGTTTGTGGTGTGTGGTGCATCCCCGATCTCCGAACGACGGGCAAAAATTTACTCACATCACACATACATCCATTCCATCTCTCTCTCTCGGGCCCGCCCTCTCGGACTCACTCGTTCTCACGTTCGCGAAAACGCTGCACGATGCGGGGTGAGTCCATCATCTCTGTTGCTCCACATTGTGTGGTAAGTTGTGTGCATTCATTTTTCTCAACGTGTGGTATTTGTATCAAGGATCTCTTCAGCTCATTTCTCTCGCCATTCGCCACCGCCTGCGTGTGTGTGTGGGCATCACGACTCGTTTTCTCTTGCATGAATAATGCGCCAAAGACTACGTGGTCGCAATTGATCTGGGCACTTCATGCACGGCATTCAGCTGGAGGGGGCCACAAAGCGACACAACCGTCTGCGTGCCGGACACTGCCGCGCACGACGAAGACGTCCGAAGCAAGACTCCCACAGCTTTGCTTATCCGAGGCCAACTTGACCCACAGAGAAGGAAGGTGTTCGAGCACGAAGGCGTTGAAGCATTCGGCCGAGACGCAGAGAGACGCTTCCGCGATAAGGAGTCATCAGACAATGCACAATTGTTCCAGCGGTTCAAGATGGTGAGAGAGAGGAGGAATGGAGGTATTGATTCTTCCGCATCCACATACGGACAGATTTTTTTTGTCTAGACTCTAGTATATGTGCGTGCGTGGTCACTCCTTGCTGCACACATCTCCCATCACGAAAAGTACGCAGTACTCTGTCTGAGATTCAACCTCTTCCTTTCTCTCTGCTAAGCGATAGAACTTTCGGCTGCCCACTACCGTACTGCTGTAATGTACGCGGCGTTATAGACATTATTTTCCCCTTGCTTTCTCGGATGGATCCGCGAAAACGAAACGTCACAACCGGGGGCATGCATTACTGGCAGGGGCCTCCATGGGACGGGACCCAATGGGGTGGGAGTCCCGTTGAATATGGGACGGGATGGGGAAATACATGCTGCCCGTCCCACACCGTTCCCATCCCACCGCCAATTCCTGCCTCACACTTGCTCCTCCGATAGTTGCACTCCCGTACAACCTGCGTCCCGTCCACCCCTAACACTCCAGTCCCATTACCGCTGTGTTACCGCTGTGAAGGTGGCTACTCCCGTCCCTGTGCACACTACACTGTGGGCACAAGACTTCCCATCCGATTACTTCAATGAAATCTAGAGTTCCCCGTTTGCTGCCCATGTCCTTCCCAAAAAGTACCCTTGTAATCAAGGTAGGGAGAAAGCGAATGATCGGCTGTGTGAATATATCAACATGTCCTCGGGGCCGACAGGTCGTTCTCTTCCGAGCGGAACAAAAAATATCGTATCTGTGAAAGATTCTGCCTCTGGTGATCACCGTCCCCCGCTCCTCCTGCTGTTGAAGCGTGAGACCACGCGCTCGTCTAGCCTCACCGGCGGCTTAAGAATATATGTTGCAGCTCTCACCGACACAATACTAGGCTACAGCAGTAGCTGTGTTTCGGAAAGCAAGAATCAGCTTCTGGCGCTGCCTGTTGAGAGAGCTGCTGTGGAGCATTTGATTGCCGCGCATACTGCATATGTACTCCCCAAACCCAAAAACAAGTAATTAAACTCCCCAAACCCAAAAATAATTAATTAAATCAAACACCCCTATATTAAACCTATGTAGTTCCCTACGATACTTCAAAAGTAATCGACGGTCGACGACGCCGGCGACATTTATTTAGTGAATCATAATTGGGATGGCATGCCCTGTTTGAAAAAGGAAAGAAAGGCCGATACAAATACGATGCGTTGCGAAGGTTTTGCCAATCAATTGCGAATCCTTCCGAATAACATACATACATTGACACCCAATAATAATAGTGGTCGTGCCTTCAAGCGTTCATTTCACCCGAAAGTACACACTTCCTATACCTATTTTCTTTCCGTATCAAGACACACAATGACCGGTTTCGCCCGAACGTCGGGGTGAAGCCCCACCAGTTGAGCATCCTGCACTGATGATAGTAGTGAATAAGGAGCCTTTTCACCTTGTGGTTGAGTGGCTTTTCTCGTTCCTCCCTCCGCTTCGCAGGAACTGCACAAGGAGAACCGAGGCGGAACCTCCGACAATCTGTACAACGCGACGACGACCAGTTTCACCGGGGTTGCAGAATTGAAGCTGCGGGACGCGTTCTCCCTCGCCCTCGAACACATAAAGGACGTGGGTGTTATGATGAGATAATATTTATTTTTCTGTTTTCTGCATATATATCCATGCACGAACTTTTCTCTGTGGTGTAGCGTGCAGTATTTAGTGATTCAATTTGGTGTTATCGCTAGAATCGCCGGAGCGTGACTTTGACCTGCTATGTGAGAGCCGTCTTTGCTCTTGTCGGAGCAGTGTACATTTGGAGTAAAATTGGAGCATGCCTGTGGCAGTGCCCGCTCCCCCGGTGTGTCACAACACTACGCCAGAATACTAATACGTCTATATCATTGCCTTGCATTCACTTTCAATATAGCGGGGGCGCGACCCATAACTTGTATATCGAAAATGCACGCAGGGTAGGTCGAGCTGATCCCCCAGTTTCGTCGTGCTTTTGTTGATACTTTCTACTGTGTGTGCAAGATATTTATTTACTCAAACGTGTAAGATTAAGCCCATGATCGGATTGAAACGAGAACATTTTTGAGCAGGATGATAGTTGTTCGCTGAATTTCCGGGTGAAAATAAATGTGGAGTAAAGGACTGTCTACATATACAAGTACACATAAAATGAAGGTTCGGCATACGTAATGTTCGGCATACGTAATCGGCGGAGAGTTCCCCATGAGGCGGAGATTGCTGTGTTTGTGAACCCCCCCTCCCCCCCGGGGGAAAGCAAAACATCTTCTTCCTATTTTTTTTGCGACAAGAAAACAAGCCCAGCACACGTCCAGCACCACACATATTTTTCTCGCTCTAGACACAATCGACCAGGTCTAGGAGCATGCAGAAGTTGGGAAAGAAGAGGAGGGAGGCAGCACGAGGCGCTGGATGAGCCTTCAGGTCACAATCAGCACCTTTGTGCATCAGTGCTGCACGACTGAAAAAAAAAAAAGATGGCGGCGGAACAAAAAATATAGGTTTACACAAAAGAGCAGCGCGACCGGCGTACATCCACCCAAGGCTAAAGGTTTACAGCAGTAGACTATTCCAATAGCTATCTAGGGAACCAAGATTTGCCGAATTCCGTCCACTGCAAGCTTCAAACTTGTCGGCGCAACCCGCAGCCCCTCCCCTAAAAAAATGTGAGACTCGTATCTAGGCGGCGCAACCACGCTGCTGTGCACCCGCCAAAGAGTCCAAGCACGAGAACGCGCCCACCACAGCATCAATCGCCATTCAAATTTGAGGAAAGGCGGACAGAGTGCCAGCAAGTATATTGCACAAGAGTTGAACTTGATTAGTGCCGAGGATCGAGAGGTAGGCACGGATGAAATTCAAAATTTGCGTTCGCATACAGGCACCATGCTTATCTTTTGCCACGCTGCCGACAACACTAAACATTGAGAATGTTAGCTGCTACTTTTGTGGTTGTACCGCACTTGGAATTATGCTGCAAGATGCACTACAGGTGCAGTAATGTTGAATGGCGTCGGCTAGATTTGAACTGAAATTGCTGTTAGGGTGCCCCCCTCTCCTGCTGCTGTGTTGCACCGCACACACTTACTTGTGCCTGTTGACTCGGGACCCTCACCCAGTAGCATAACTCTCCTGAATCCCGAAGAAAAAAATATGAGAAGGACGGAGTAGCAACAATAACACGGCAGCTACACAAACAATGAGTATGGTCACTAATAACGTTGTGCTATCTGATGTCGCACGCAGGAAACGGGCGGCCCACCTACTACACTCACTCGCACTCAAGTATGGAATACGCACATAGCACTACGCACTTAGCACTGGGTGTGTCGCAAAAGCGAGGAAATACTTACTACACACGAACACACGCAACTCCGGGGCCCCGAGTTGCCCATCCGACCCATCAAACACCGAGGGCTGCTCTTCTTGCCGCACAAGTTAAATTGCTCAGATAGAGGTCAAGCTGGAGCAAGCAAGTACTTGGGAGCGAGCGTGAGCTCGGAAATAATTCGACCCTCTCTGCAACAAAAGCACGAGCAAACACGAGAGCGGGCAGCAGCTGCCTCCAGTGTTGATCGCCCACTTGGCTGAGGAAAGCACTGAGTTCACAACAAGAAATAAGCCCCCTCGAGGCGTGAACACCTACTATTATTATGTGGCAACACCAAGATGATACAAAAAGTTCGTCACAAAACATCATGCCCGAATGATACAACAAAGAACTAATTCACAGTCAGTATATACGGCACAGGCTCTACGCGCCCTCGTCCCCATAGGTTTCAGGCACGTTGCCGATAAAACACGAAGAAGAAAATACCATCCTAATAAGCCACGGACACCCAGCCTGGCTGAAACTACAGAAGCGTCTCCCGTCCGTCTCCCTGCGCACCTACAGTACGAATAATGGTCGCGAAAATGCGTACTCTAGCCGGCTGTTCTACGTCTTCTGCCCCTGTGTCTAATAATCTGCCACCCCTGGTCGTCCTGTTTGCCCGATGCATCCAACGGAAGGCAAGTGAAGCACGGACCTGTTGAACCGCCAAGAACGACGCGCAAAATGTGACATTGAAGCATGGGTCAGATAAATCAGATCACACGCACGAGAAAGGCACCGCCGGTGTTAGATCTTTGGTTGCGATGTGGAGATCTGACGTGCAAAAAGAA